GATCTGGAGGATGGAGGACATCCATGTGATGCAGTCGGTGATGAAAAGCCAAACACACACAACACAGCAGTAAAGGCAATACACTATGCGAAGGAAGTCACTTAGGGAAGACAGGGAAGTTACGACAGGGGAAGTTGCGACAGGGTCTCACGTGGCCCTGGCTTGCCTTGAACTTTTCATGCAGTTCAGTGTAGCCTAGAACTTACTGCAATCCTCCTGCCTCTGCACCCTAGTGTTGAGTTGCCAGCATGTACTACTACCACACTGGGTGAAAGAAAGTTTTTAAAAATGTATATATGGACCAGGCGGTGGTGACACACACCTTTAATCCCAGCATTTGGGAGGCAGAGGCAGGTGGATCTCTGTGAGTTCAAGACCAGCCTGGTCTACTGAGCTAGTTCCAGGACAGGCTCCAAAGCCACAGAGAAACCGTGTCTTGAAAAACAAACAAAAAAAAATGTATATATGTTGTGTATGCGTGTTTGTGTATGTACAGCTGTGTGTGAAAATACATGTTTGTATGAACAACTGGAGCCCAGAGGCCAACATTGGTGTCTCCTGCTATTCCTATCCCCCTTAACTTGTGGAACAGTCTCTGTACCTACAGCTCAGATTTGTAGACTGCCTGGCCAGCGCAGCCCAGGGATCCAAGTGTTTCTTCTACCCACTCCCTTTGAGCTAGGGTTACAGACACACATGACCACGCCTGGCACTTTTCCCCAGGTGCTGGGATCTGAACTCAAGTCCTCATGCTTGCACGCAGGCAGTTTACCCACTGAGACATCTAGTCCCAGAAATCACATTTTAAAAGCTGGGTGAGGTGGCACATACCTTCAGTACCCACACTGGAGGCAGAGGCAAGAGGATCTCTGTGAGTTCAAGACCATCCTGGTCTATATAGTAAGTTCCAGGACAGTCAGGGCTACACAGACAAACCCTGTCTTAAAAAACAAGACAAAAGAAAAAGAGCTACATGTTATATCCCATTGACATGGTATTCTAGAAGGAACAAAGCTAAAGGTAATGGAAAAAGTTCCGTGGTTGCCAGGAGCTGAGAGTGGGAGAAGAAACTGTCCATAGGGAACAGCAGGAGAAAATTATAATTTGCTGGGGGGTTTTGCTTTTCTTTCTTTCTTTCTTTCTTTCTTTCTTTCTTTCTTTCTTTCTTTCTTTCTTTCTTTTTGATGATAAGGTTTCTGATGAGGCTGGCCTTGAATTTACAGAGATTCTCCCACTGGAATTTTTGTTTGTTTGTTTGTCTATCTGTTTAGGAGACAGGATCTTCCAGAGAACCTGCATTTGATTCCCAGCGTCCACATTTGGTGACTCACAACCAGCTGTGATTCAGCCCAGAGATCTGACACCCTCTCAGGATTCCACAGGCACCTATACACTCAGGCACACAAAAATAAATCTTTAAAAAAAAAAGTTAAAGAGGGCTGGAGAGATCCCTCAGAGGTTGAGAGCACTGGCTACTCTTCAGAGGACCCAGGTTCAATTTCCAGCAACCACATGGCAACTGTCATAACTGTAACTCTAGTTCTAGGGGATCCGACATCATCACAAAGACAAACAAGCAGGCAAAATATGAATGCATATGAAATAAACATAAATTATTTTTTAAAAAACTGGAAACCATAGCCCTGGGTTAGTAAGATGGCTCAGTGGATAAGGGTATTTGCAGCCAATCCTGACCTGGGTCTGATCCCCGGGACTCACATGGTGAAAGAAAAGAAATGATTCCTGAAAGCCCTCTGACCTCTACAAGCCTCAACGGCACACTTGCCCCCAAACAAGTAAATAAATGTATTTCTAAAATTAAAGTCCTGAAACAAACAAATAAGCAAACAAACAGAAAGATAAATAAATAAATGAATAAATGAATAAATAAATGGCCCTATAGATTTGGGAGATGGCTCAGCTAGTAAACCCTTGCTGGACAAGCAGAAGGACCTGAGCTTATCCCCAGTAAAAAGCTGGCACATGGGCACAAGAACCCATAATCCCAGCAGGCACAGGGTCTGAATTTTCCCCACAATTCTAGCTAAGTCTATTTCCTTTCTCATTAGTTATTGGTGCAGCATTAACTGGGTGCCAGCCCCAAATCATGCACTGAGGACAGACATAAGAACAAGACACCTATACTCTCCCCTGAGGAAACTTACGGACTGGTTGGGCAAGACCGGCATACACAGCGCAATACAATGAGCGCATCCTGAAGTGTGCTGGGGAAGTAACAGAAAGCTTCCCGGAGGGCTGGCTGTCACAATCATGTAACTATTTTGCTGTGGTTTTGTTGTTTGTTTCCGAGACAGGGTCTCACGATGTAGCCCTGGCTGGCCTGAAACTCGCAGAGATCTGCCTGTCTCTTTCTCCCAAGTACAGGAACTAAATAAAGTCGTGCGCCACCATGCTTGCTTGGAAAAGACCCATGTTTAATTCAGTTTCCAGTTTGAAACGCCCATAGCTCGAGCAAGCTCTAAACAAATGTTGCCAAGTCGACCCATATCCTCTTCTGCCTACAGTTGTGGGCTATCTAAAGACACTCAACTCTGAAGGGACCAGGAGGGCACTGGGACTGGTACAACACAAGTGCAAGACTCCTCCTTAGATTGGGGCAGGCTACAGGGGAAGGCAGGGTTCAAACTACGTTTCTTTACTTTGATCCTTTCTTTGTTTTGTTTTGTTTTTGAGACAGCATTTCTCTGTGAAACAGTCCTGGAACTCACGCTGTAGACCAGGCTGGTCTGGTCTCGAACTCAGAGATCTACCTGCCTCTGCCTCCCAAGAGCTGGGATTCAAGGACTGTGCTACCACCAACTGGCTACCTTTATTTCCTTTTATTCATATCCTAAATGACACTGTTCATTCAGCAAACGTGGGCCTCCCCCAAGCAAAACAAACAAAGAAAAACAAGCAAGATCATTTTTTACTTATGAACAGCTGACAGTGAAGGTGCTGGCTAGTCTTCTGTCAGCGTGGCCCAAGCTGGAGCCACCAGAGAGGAGGAGGTCTTGATTAAGAAGAAAATGCCTCTGATCTGGGCAGCTGTGTACGCCTTTAATCCCAGCACTTGGGAGGCAGAGGCAGGCAGATCTCTGTGAGTTCGAGACCAGCCTGGTCTACAGAGTGAGTTCCAGGATAAACTCCAAAGCTACACAGGGAAACCTTGTCTCGAGGGGGTGGGGGAGCAGCTTTAGGTGTAGATGTAGAGTAGAGGGTAGAGGTCTTGGGGTTCAATCCCCAGCATTGCTTAGAATGAAGCCCTCCAGAGGCTGAAGCAAGGGGATCAATACTTAGTTCATCCTCAGGTGCCCAGGTTCACCTGGGCTATGTGAGTCTCGCGACTGCTAAAAAGAAAAAAAAAAAAAAAGCCTCTTTATTTCACTCTTATTGTTGGAAAAAAAAAGTCGAAGTAGAAACCCCACCAAAAATTAGGAGGTAGCATTAAAATAGGATTCAAGATGCATTTTCCTAAAGCACATGCCTAAGTCAATTGTCACAGAAATAGAAGCCTGTTCACACATTCACAAGGTTTTTTTGTAAAACTGCGTTTATTTTTGTACACCACGGTTTCACTTTGTTTCAAAAGAAATTCTGGCCATATTGCATACTGATTTTTTTTTTTATCTTGACGCTTACTTCTAAAAGAGACAAGGCAAGGGGTTATGGTGACACCTACATAATCAGGGGTCTTGGCAAAAGGATGCAAAGACCCTACTTCTGAGCTGGGCATGGTGGCGCAAGCCTGTATTCCCAGCATTTTGGTAGACTGAAGCAAGAGGATTACCATGAACTCAAAGCCAGCTAAAAAAAAAAAGATGGACGGGGTGACTCGCACCTATAATCTCAACATTTGTGAAGCTGAGGCAGGAGGATTAAGATAAATTTAAAGCCAGTGGAGGTTACACAGTGTCTTCTGGCCAGTAGCTTGGACTACAGAGACTCTGTCTTGTGTGTGTGTGTGGGGTTGTTCTATAATAAGTATTTTATTTTCGAATTAGTATTCAAATATAACACCTGGACAGAGTGAGGCATGACATTCCACCCCACACCTCTAGCCCCTGAAAAGAAGGTATTAAGAGGAAACCATGTACATAGAAAGCAAGGGAATTATTTTTTACTGAAGTTGCAAGAAAATGGATACCAGGTTTTAAAAAAAATTAATTAGCAATGATTTCACCAAGTCATTTAACTGCTCCAGGCCTCGATATCTTTCCCATGGGTGAAAATGAAGATGTTGACATTAGTAAATCCCTATGGGTCCTCGCAGCCTTAAACACTGACTTCCCTCAGCAAACAGTTCAAGTAACCTTGGGTGCTAGTGTGAGCATTTAAAAAAAAAATATCCACTTTAGGTTTTGTTTTTGTAACAATTTCTTCTGATATATCCAAGCAGGAAACGCTGTACACGGCTAGATTCCACCAAGAGTGCTGTCCATATACCACTCAAAAAATAAGGGGAGGGCAGCTGCGCCGCTCAACAGTTATGCTGCATGGGGGGGGGGGGAAGCTATCCTAAGAGAGGCTCACTGAAAAAGGAAACTGTAAATTTCCACCTCTCCTACAGGGAAACGGCACTTTCATTTTCTCTTATTCTAAAAAGACAGCGAAAGCCACACAACCCTCACACGTTTTCATTATAAAAACGTGCCAAAATATTGAAGAGGCACTATTTTTCTACCTAGGTCACCCATCTTATTTGAGAACGCCGTTTTTAAATACCCACAAGACACTCTCACGTCGACGCTCGCCGTTCAATAAAAATAAATAAAAAATAAGTTGAAAAATGTCTGCTGGGCCTTTCATGCAAACCCATAAACAACCATATCTTTTCCGCAGCGACGCCCGGGGCCGAGCCCCGCAAGCAGCGCAAGCAGCAAGACTGCAGACTGCGGCGCTGGCGGGGCCACTCCTCCCGCGACACTCTGAAGCTCCCTTCTCCCTCCTGATTTCGAAGGGTTCCGGACCCCGCTAAGACCCCCGCCCTTGAAGTCCAGCCCCGGGAAGGGGAGGCGGAGAGAACCCCGCGGCCCCAGTCCGGCGGGAGCAGCGCGGCAAGAAAACCCTGCGTCCCCTCCCCAGCTGGCAGGAGTAGCCCGGGCGGCGTGCGCCCAGCAGCTCCCAGGTGGGTCTCTGCAGCCGGGGACAGCGCCCTGCTCTCCGGAGAGGGAGGCAGGGAGGGAGGAGGACACAGGCCAGGCTTCGTTCGTCACGATTCACGAGGGAGGGTGGGAAAGAGGGAGGGATTGGAGACAGGGGGAAAAGGGGGGAGGGCGGAATCAGGAGCTCTGAAAATGCAGAAGGCAAGGAAGGGAGACGGGAGAAAAGGAATGAGTGGAGAAGAGTTGGGTGCAGAAGGGTGATGCTGCAGAGGAGGCTAACGGGCTGGAGGGGATAAAGGTGCGGATGGGGGAGGGAGAGACGTGGTCTGGGGTGAAGAGGCAGAGAGAGGGGACGGGATGGGATGAAGGAGACATGGCGTGATGGAGATAAAAAGGAAAACGGGATGTTTATGAAGGCAAGGTGTGAGGTGGAGGAGGAGGGACGGGATGAAAATGAGATGGAGGAATAGAGACTGAGGAGGCGTCTAGGGTGAGGAGGACCGGGGTGAAGAGGGGATCAGGGAGAAGCGTGAGTCAGGGAAGCCTGCTGGCAGCAGGAAGTCAGAGGGGCTTCCCTCCTGGGAGGGCGACGCCTGGCTAACGGGTCCCACCGGCCAGCACCCGGATGCCACTTACTCTCTCCGACCACCGCCTTAAGGCCAATGGGGGCCATGGCGTTGTGCGAGTCTCCGGGCTCCGACGCTCCTCCCGCGACACCGTCACCTCCCCCGGGCCGCGCGCCCCGCTGTCTGCAGCCTGTCGCCCCGCAGCCGCACTGGGGACCGACTGACGCGCGGACTCGGCGCGGGGGCGCGACTCGGGCCAGAGCGAGGCTGCCTAGCGGCCGAGGCGCGCGGGAGGGGCGGGGCGGGAGGGGCGGGGCCTCGCGTCAGCCGTCATCGTCACCCGCCGGCGCCCGCCAATCGTAGCACGGCCCGGGCGTGAAAGCCCCGCCCTCTAGGATGCGGATGGGCTCCAGGAGCATCCTCCCCTGCGCTTTACGCGCGCTCCCGGGGCTCAGGGTCCTAAAATCCCCTGCATCAGCTCTGCTCTGGCAGACAGGCCATGGGAATCTCCGGAAAGCCAGTCCGTGGTGCTCTTTCTGCTTTCTGGGAGCCTTCCATTTTCTCCTGCCAACGGAAATAACTCCAAGGGCAGATTCTTATTAGCTGAACCCATTCCTGGCCACAATATAGGCTCACGGTATATCGAAACTATCCCTCTGTCTGTTTACCCATCATTGACGGAGCGCTAAGATCTGTGCCACGCACCTTTCAGGCAACATTTTCTTTTCTTTTCTTTCTTTCTTCCTTTCCTTTTTTTTTTTTTTTGTTTGTTTGTTTTGAGACAGGGTTTCTCTGTGTAACAGCCCTAGCTGTCCTGGAACTAGCTTTTATAGATAAGGCTGGCCTCGAATTCAGAGATCTGCCTGCCTCTGCCTCCCGAATGCTGGGATTAAAATCATGTGCCACCACCACTCAAGGAAGATTGCTTTTGAAATATAAAAAAAGAGTGGGAGATGCATCTCAGTGTAGGACACTTGCTTGTTATATGCAAGGCCTCGGGTTTGATGCCTGACAGTGAGAAATAAAATGCAATGGGCGTCAAAGAAAAACTTAACAAGCCCAGCTAATTTAAAAATCACAAAGGGTGGGGCTAGAGAGATGGCTCAGTGGTTAAGAGCACTGACTGCTCTTCTGGAGGACCTGAGTTCAATTTCCAGTGCCCACAAGGTGGTCCCAACTGTCTTTGACTGTTGTCTGATGGTACCTAATGCCCTCTTCTGGTGCGCATACATGCATATGAAACACCCATATACAATACATATATAAATAAATCTATTTTTTAATAGTTTTTGCATTTCTTTTTTTAAATTTATTTATTATGTATACAATATTCTGTCTACAAGTATGCCTTCAGGGCAGAAGAGGGCACCAGACCTCATTTCAGATGGCTGTGAGGCACCATGTGGTTGCTGGGAATTGACCTCAGGACCTTTGGAAGAGCAGGCAATACTCTTAACCGCTGAGCCATCTCTCCAGCCCAATAAATCTATTTTTTTAATTTTTAAAGAAAAAGAAAAATCACAAAGAGCCTGGTGTTGTGGCACACACATTTAATCTCAGCACTTGGAAGACAGAGACAGGAGGATCCCTGAATTTGATGTCAGCCTGTTCTACAGAGCAAGTTCCAGGACAGCCAGGGCTACACAGAGAAACCCTGTCTTGAAAAACCAAAATAATAATAACAATAAATAAATATCACAAAACCAGGCAAAGTGGCATAGGCCTTTAATTCCAGCACTTGGGAGGCAGAGGCAGGTGGATCTCGCTGAGTTCCAGGACAGATGGAGCTACATAGATCCAGTTTCAAAAAAAAAAAATCACAAAAGAGCAGCCCTTGAGATGGCTCAGTGGGTAAAGGCTCTTGCCATCTAGTCTGACAATCTAAGTTTGATCCCTAGAATCAATTTGGTGCAAAGAGAGAACAGACTCCCACAAAGCTGCCCTCTGACCTACACATACACACACACAGTGGCACTTGGTGCCACACACTAAGTAAATATAACAAAATTTTTACAACAGTACTCTGGAGCTGACTCCACATGAGTGCTATAGCATGTATACACTCACACACAACATACTTGTATATACACAATAATGACAAATTAATTTTTTGTTTTTGTTTTTCGAGACAGGGTTTCTCTGTAGCTTTGGAGCCTGTACTGGAACTAGCTCTTGTAGACCAGGCTGGTCTCAAACTCACAGAGATCCGCTGGAATTAAAGGTGCGCACCACCACTGCCTGGCCCAACAAATTAATTTTTTAACCATAAAGGAGAGCTAGACATGGTGGGAAACATCTGCAATCCCAGCATCTAAGAGGCAGAGGCAGGAGACTTTCTGTGAATTTTGGCCAACTTAAGCTACATGGTAATCCCCTGTCTCAAAAAAAACAAAACAAGTGGACCTCCCAAAGCATGGCTCAGTGGGTCAAGGCATTTCCCAGCAGCCTGCTAACCTGAGGCCAATACCGGAGCCCACATAAGGAGACAAGGTGGGAACTGATTCCACAAAGTTGTTCTCTGACCACACACCAAGACAAGCATGAGACTCTTCATACATGATAACAATAAACACAAGCCAGCCAAAAGCCAGGAGTCACAGGAGTGAATCTGTGAATGCCCCTTCAATGTAAACAGCCCTGTGATTGGGCCCTTTCTACAGATCACTCAGAAACTAAGTGATTACTTCACCAACAAGGGGGCAGGAGAGATGGCACAGCAGTTAAGAGCACTGGTTGTTCTTCCAGAGCACCAGGGTTCAATTCCCAGCACCAACATAGAGGTTCACAACTGTCTGTAAGCACAGAGTCACAGCCGGGTGATGGTGGCGCACGCCTTTAATCCCAGCACTCGGGAGGCAGAGGCAGGTGGATCTCTGTGAGTTTGAGACCATCCTGGTCTACAGAGCTAGTTCCAGGACAGGCTCCAAAAGCCACAGAGAAACCCTGTCTCAAAAAACAAAAACAAACAAACAAAAAAAAACCACAGAGGCACATATACAAATCTTTAAAAAAATATATATAGATGGCTGGGCGGTGGTGGCACACGCCTTTAATCCCAGCACTTGGGAGGCAGAGGCAGGCGGATCTCTGGGAGTTCGAGGCCAGCCTGGTCTACAAGAGCTAGTTCCGGGACAGGCACCAAAGCTACAGAGAAATCCTGTCTCGAAAAAC